CGGTTCGGGACGGTTCGGAACCGTTCAGAACGGTTCGGAACGGTTCGGAACGGTTCGGGACGGTTCGGCCTGTCAGAGACAAATGCGATGCTTTTCCTTTCTTATCTACCTAACTTTGACCTAACCACTAACCCTGGGAATGCTTAAGACTAGATTTGCCTATAATATCATGACATTCTATGTAGCCCTAAGTCTATCTGGGGGTACACCTGCCGAAAAGTAGTCTTAAGCATTCCCAGGGCTTTCCAAAGTATCTATATAGTTCGATTTAGAATTCCGATATAGAGCAGGTATTATTCTAGTTATTCTATTTGTTCTATTCATACCATTAGTTCCGACCATTCCATTCGATCCGATCTATTCTATTCATATTTTCTTTTTTTTGGCGGCGCGGGCACGGGCGCGAGCGATGGAAAAAACTTAAATAATTCTTTCAATTTGTCTCTTTTTTCCAACCATATTTTTTAGATCCTAATAAGTCAATATCTTCAATAAATTTCATATTCTCCATAAATGTTTTTATTCGTTTCTTCTGCCTCATGCTAATACGAATATTATATCTAAATATATAATCCAAATAATCTTAATCCTTTCTCTTAAGATAAATAACAAATATTTCTCCACTCTAATCAAATTTACGATTTTATATAATTTTTTTATATCTATTTAAGTCTAATTATATCAAATACTAATTTTATAATATTCAAATCTCTTTCAAAAGAATAATATATGAATTCAATTCTAGAAATATAGTATATATATATATAATCGAATCTATTTCTAAATTAAGAAAATCTTAAAATAATATTTCCTAATATAATTCTATTAATGAAAAATAAATGAAAAAGCAAACTAATATAAAAATACTAATTCTAATCGAAATTTTTAATCTTGAAATTAATGGTTAACATATAGTCGAACAAAAACAAACAAAAAATAAATTCAAGATGTATCTTTATAGAATAAAATAAAATTCTGATATGAAAATTCAATTTTATAAAAAAATCCGAAATATATATATATATAATATATGTATATATATATATATTCTCTTTGTTAAGTTTTATTAATTTGATCAATCGGTAATATCCAATAGATCCAGAAAGTTGAATTAAAATTCGGCAGGCTTCAAGATTCCGTGTCTACGGGACAGATTAATAATTCGATAAATCTGCCTTCGAAGTCTCCTGGCAGGTTCAATTAGTTGTTCCAATTATTTTGGTCGCCTCAGTCCGGCTTGAATATTAAATTCATCAAGGAAGGGGTCCTTGATCGGGAAGCAACACCTGCAACCCCGGCCTCTGATTCCGAAAAACGGAGATGAAGGGTCAGTGAAGACACCCGTCTCTGTTCGACGGTGGACTCATATTCCCCCATCACGTCATCCACGACGTCTACAGTTCCATGATGCGTCTCCAAGCTTAGGCGCTCACCATAATGCATCAAGACATCCTGTGCCACATAGATAGCTTTCGTGATGCTCGCGCCCATGCCGTGAATCACCACCTCTCGGTGGCCTTCACGGTCGAAGAGTCGCCTGGAAAGCAACGTTCACGAACGCACAACACAGCTGGCGAACGCAGCTCTGAGTGTCTAGTCCCGGTGCCTTATGCGCTTGAAAAGAACTGCAAGGCTTTGATTTCGCGCCACATAGACCTTCACCACACGGCCGACTCACACTGACATCAAACTGTAAAGGACTGAGGCGATAATATCTTTCCATAGTTGAAAACATCTAGCCGAGTCTGGATTGTACCATGCGCTGTCAAGGACCTCGTTCTCTGCCGTACTGCGCACGGGAGCCCTCCTTTGGATCAATCGCGGCTCTTCTTCCGAAGGCTCGTTCACCTGCCAGAGTGTTTGCACCATCCAGCTAGGCTTGGACGACAGATCCGGACTTTAGTAGATCCAAGTAATTTCTCATACTCAAGTCGCCAAGACATGAACATGAGCAGCACGATGAAAGTGTCTGGAAAGTGTTTCCATAAAACACGCGTCGGTGTCGACACATGTCGACACGAATCCACGACACGTATTTGCATTGCTCAGTCCTCGAGTGACTACATGTGACTACGTCCAACTTACAATCCTGACGACATGCAATGGCAATGACCGTGCACCCTACTTGCACCCTAGCAACCAAGACCTTAACCAAAGCATTCGACCAGAACATCTTGGACAGTGGATACTGCATCCCGAACCACGCAAGCCAACCAATCCGGCCAACAGTTGCCAGCACCAAACGCAATCATTCCCCTGCAAGCATTAGCTCGCTTCCGGTATACACTTCTTGGCTGGGGTTTTAGGCCGCAGCGTCAAATCCCTCAACTTTGTGCGCGTCCCAGCCTGTCCCGCAGCAAGGTCCATTGCTGGCCAACTGCATCTAGCACAGATGTTGCAAAAACATATCAAAAGGACAAGTATTCTGCTCTTGGGAGGAGCTGAGGTTCTCTTACCTGATATATGTAAAACATGTTGAGAGGAGAAACCGAAACTGTCTTGCCATGGCTTGCCCGCATTGCAACCGAACCCAAGCATTCTTTGGCACACAACATCCTGCACGATAAGCTTCAGCTCTTCAGCCATCGTGCAACATCCGATTCGGGACGGAAAAGGGAAACCTTCACACTTTCTTCGCTGTGTAGAGCTTCCAGGTCTAGCTCGGCCACTGCATTTGTAGCAGAGTGGCTGATGCTCCCAGCAGGGCACGCGTGACCCATGCTGAACAGCTTGAGGTCCTACTGTTCGCCCAAAAACCCTCTGTATGATTGTCGGAACAAAACCTTACACGAAAAGTATGTCACGGGGTTTTGGAGCGTGGAAAAAAACTTTGTTCAGTCGTTCACCTGGACATCTTCGCCTTGGCCACAGACATCTGTTGCACCTCTTCTGCTATCCTCTGCTCTGAAAAACCAAGCTGGCAAGATCAGGCAAGTGGCAGACACCTCAGGTGCTGAAAGCTGCCTGTGAGGCATAGTCACCGAGGCTTGAAGCATCCCAGTCCTTGGCAGTTGCGACGCATGGTTGCGGATACCCAAGGCGAACCTCAATGTGTCGGATCCTCATTACGCCGAGACTCCCTTTGGGGATCTGTGGCATCGCTCTGCCTGCTACACAGCCAGTCTCTTCTGACGAAGGCTGGTCGGACACTCTCTGCGACAAACCGGCCTCCATGAACAAAACATGCACAATGGAGCTGCCCAACGTGGGCCGACAATGCTCTGTAAGCATCCCGATGGGGTTGCACGTGGCTGTTTGCCGTCACAGCCACCGCCACATCAACCCCCTAATTCACCCATTGCCAAAGCAGAACGGATGGGGCACTAGCTCAAGCATGATCGAGGTTTCTCGATCCCCCAAGCTGTTTCGGCTTTCGCAGCAGCAAGGAATCTGTGCAAGGAATCTGTGCAATGCACTAATTAGTGCTTTCAGCTGACATCCCTTTGCCCAACCGGAGCTGTGCATTGTCATGCAATCTCACGCGTCATCTGCATAAGCAGAGCACGCGAACATCTCGTCAAGCCTGTGGCAAAGCAAAAGCAAGGGGTCTCCAAAACCAACGACACCGAGCCCGCCCCGCCTGTCTAGAGTCATTACCAAAGCTCTGGCATCACGGTCCCCTGCACCGTATGTGATTACCACGGTGTCGCTGTGCACCTCAGAACATCATTCAGGGCGAAAGCTGCTTCCCTGGACGCGGTGTTCATGCATCCACCTTTGAGTCTCTGACAGCAAGGCCGCTTGCAAAAGCAAACGGGACACCACCTCACAGCCCGTGAGCAGATCGGGACGACGAAATCGAAACTCTAGCGGGCTTGCTTTCCGCCTGGAGTTGCAGCTGCTTCCGTCAAAGGCAATTTCGATGAGAGCTGAAGCATCATGAACGGTGGCTCTGCTCCGAAGCGGTACCTCAAGTTTCAGGTTCCAGGTATAAAGATCACATGCCTACATGTCGAACGGTGCCATCCCGCATTGAGGTTCGAACGCGTGGTGGGCATAACCTGAGCATGACAGCAGCTCTCAGAGTGATATCCGTGATACAGCATGACTTTTGCAGTACGTGAACTCACCAGGCAAGTCAAGCAACGACCCGTGGAAGTGTCGAAGATATGCAACAGAGCCAGATAATGCGGCCGTGCCAAACTGGGTGTTGCCTCCAAGTAGCTTGAACTTTTGTGCAACCACTTAAAGGTCAAGCATATACCCTTACTTGCCCACGTCTCCTGCGAGTTGTTCACGTACACAGCTTGTGCGGAACCTCGGATCCTGCATGGGATTAACAAGCAAAACACTGATCTTCACATGCGAGCCAATGTATCTAGACAGTTGGTAATAAACAAACAAAAAGCACCTGCCTAATTGGTAGGTGAACTGCAGTGTCTTGGCACGGACAACTAACCGGCACGCCGATACACTCCGACCGGGCGACCGAACCGAGCACGATCCGGACCAGACCGGGACAGTTCTATATGTGCGTGCGCTGCGTGCATGTACAGATATTTTTACGTATGTCTGTATATATGTAAACACGCATACAAATGTGCGTGCGGACGCATTGGACACATGAATACTGGACTGGGACACGGACCGGCACACGGCCGGGACACGACGGAGACTGGACGTGGACAACGACCAAACCGTCGACCAGAACAACGACCAAAATGCCGCGGACACCAACGACACGGACAGGGACACGACCCTGACACGAACAGGTCTCATGATCACGCGGACACCGATACGACTGAGACACGACCGGAACACGATTGACACCGATCAGAAGACTGGGACACTGACTAAGACACCGACCGACCCGCCGGCCACGACCGAGACGACACTGTCCTGGACCACCCGGACAGCTGACAAGCGGCCACGCCGATGACGGGAAGCCACCAGGACACTGACGGTAACAGTGGCACCCCCGGGACACCACTCGGTCGCACCAACCTTCACCGACGGGACACGACCACAACACGACCTGAGCACGACCGGCACAGCTCGGGACACCGACCACAAAAAACAGACTGGGCACACCGACCAGGGCCAGAACGACCAAGATACCGATGCAAACACCGATCAAAACGACATGGACACGACGGAGACACCGACCCAGACACGACCGGGACACCGACCACGACTTATAGCAGGACCAGCAGCAAAACTGCCCGTAGCTTCAACTAACACACAGACGAAAACGACAAGAAAAACTGATGGGGTACGCCGAACACAACATCAGCCGCGAAGTGACCGGACAACGACCAGGACACCGATCGGGACACGTCCGGGACACCGACCGGAATGGACCTTTGATGTACCGCTGTTTCCTACTGGCCAATTATGCTTCAACGTCGCCGCTGTTAACCCGCCCTGTGTGGGGACGCCGACTGACTGATTGACACTGCAATCTGGCTTGAAGCTCGGACGGGCCCAGCTATCCGTGCCAAAGATTGCCCTGCATTGCAGGGAACGCCAGTCTCCTGTGTATTGCCCACACCCTGCGAAACCATGCGGACAAATCGTTATCATGTTTCAGACTGATTAGTTTGCGTGTACCTTGCAGACAATCTATGAAGAATCTGCACGGGTGAAAGACGATGCCAGCCTGAGCTCAACATCTTGTCTCACATTAAACAAGGGCATCTGGGGTCAAGCGGTAAAAGTTGTCAACCATCCGCTAGTGTGCCAATTCCTCCAAAAGCCGTGAACACATGAATCACGCCACAACATGGCTCAAGAATCGCTGCTCATTTGGTTTCAAGAGTTGGCCTTCCACGTGTAGTAATGCAGTAAAGGCTGCATGTACCGAAGAAGCCAGCGGATGTGGTGGATAATCAATAAAATGATTACAGGCGACAACAGAAGAGAACACCACCCGCAGAAAAGATATGATTACGGCCGCTCGACTTTATGTTCTGTTAACGAGATTTGACGAGTAGGCCCATTGCTTCAACTGTTGCCACAGTGTGCCAGGCCTGACGTGGGGGTTTTCCTGTACCACTCGCTGCAGCGGACGGAAAGTTGTGCTAAATACCTTCGCTGACAGCTGCACCGACTTGGTTCTAGTACTCGAGCAACCACACTGGAATGGAATCTGAGTTCCGGCCTTCTCGCTTTGTCCATCACTCTGTGATGACAGAACAACGTGCGGAAGTGGAGTATAGATGAAGTATACGGACTCCTGATACACGAACGGAATCCAGTTCCTCGCGCGGCAGGGTGGCTCTCTAGGGTTTGAGGGCGGTGGCATTGTGCTTGACATGCTGGGATGGTAGCACAAACTTTTCGAGTTTGGGATCAAGGATCTTCTCAGCAACGTCGCTTTGGCCGTAGCTTAGGCGGTGCGCAGCGTTGGGAATGGCAGGCTCCACCGGGTTGACTCCGGTAGACAGGTACCTTGAGGCCAGCCAGAGCCGGTCATACGCAAGTTCGCATCGGTGCTGCTGAGTCACATCTGGGTCACGGCATCCGCAAAGCCTGAAGCAGAGGTTAGGTAAATGTCTGAGTCGAATCGGCCCAGTTCTGGGTGTCAACCGCATTCATGGTACGGGGGGATAGAAGACCCCGGACTGGGGAACCAAAGAAGCAGCAGATGGACAGAATGGAGATCTGTCTCGAAACAAGCAGGCCGTGAATTCACCACCGCTCGAGAATACAGGTTGCGCCTAAGGAAGTAAGGGAGTCGGCTTAAGGGTATTTGCCACGTGCTGGCCTTGATTGTTTTTCCGGCACGTTGATGAATCTCCGTTGGTGGGAGGCTTCGAGTCGAAAGCAAGCGCCAGACCACTGTCGCCGGCACGAAGACTCACCACCTAAAGGGACATGATGACATGATCCGAAAACATGCCAAGTCCAAGCATGCAGCAAGGCAACGC